GGTCTGCTGAGGTCCACTCCAGGACCTGCTTGCCCGAGGATCACCTGCAGCCGCTGCAGAACAGTAAGGGTTGCTACCAGTTTTCTTCTTCTGCTATCTTTGTGCCAGAAGGATACCTGCCAAGTGTCAGTCTGATCTCTCTTTTATGAGGTGACTCTTTGGCTATACAGGGGTCTGAGAGCTGCTTGAGGAGACAGTCTCTTCTTTATAGGAGCTCAAATGCTGAGCTGTGAGCTCCATTGTTCATTCAGAGCTGCTGGGCAGGTACGTTTAGGTCTGCTGCAGCAGAACTCATAAACTGCTTTTTATTCCCAGGTGCTCTGTCTCAGGGCTTTAGGTCTTTATTTGTGAGTTTCCTTTGTGCTGCTGCCTTGTTTTTTTTCCTTCAGAGCTGCCCTGCCCAGCAAGGAGGCAGCCTAGTCACTGTCTGCCTGTAGAGGCTTTGCTGAGCTGCTGTGGTCTCTGCCCAGCTACCAAGTGAACTTCCCTGTAGTCCTGTTTATATGGGTGTAGTTAGAACAGCCTCGGCAATGGTGGCCTGCCTCTGTTATGGTGGACTCTTTCTGTAGTGGCGGGTTGCTTTGGCAACGGCGGGCTGCCTCAGCAATGGTGGGTTGCCTTGGAAATGGCGGGCTTCCTCAGCATTGGCTGACTCCTCTGTAGTGGTGAAGTGCGTCCGTAATGGAGGATGCCCCTCCCCCACAGAGCTAGACTGTCCCAGGTTCAGCTGCACTTGCTGTGAAACTCTCAATTCAGAAAGTTTCTGCTTGCTATTCTTTTGTGGGGGTGGGACCAGCCGAGCCTGATCGCCTGGCTCCCCGTCTCAGAGCCTTTTTTTTTTTTTTTTAAGTTGGTGTTCCAGTCTCCTGTTGAAGAGCCTCCGTAATCTGTGTGTTTTCCCGTGCGGCGATGCACTGTGCTGGCTTAAACAGTGGCACTGAGATTCATGGCACTTTTTTGACCCTGGAATCTACTGTCCTGGTTCCCTGTTCAGTCCCCTTTTTAAACAGATGAATGGGCGACTTCCCGTGGTCCCAATCGCCAGCCAAAAGGGCACCCAGACCAGTGTATTTTGTACAGAGAACCGCTGCACTGGGGCGCTGACAAAGCAGCATGCGGGGCAAAGCAGCGGCACTGGCTGACACATCTGAGCTGGCCGAAACAGCTGCCCTGGTGATCCATGGAGCTCCTCCGCCTGGGAATTTCCTAGTCTGTGGGCAATAAAAATGTGGCGTCCACTCACCCTTTGTGCTTTCACTGCGAGCTGCAATCCTGAGCTGTCCCTAAATGGCCATCTTGGATCAATCTATCTGCTCTTTTCAAATTACTGTCTGTCTTTGACTTTTGATAATTCGATTATAGTGTGTCTCAGTCAGAGTACCTTTTTAGGGTCAGCCCATTTAGAGTTGTTTGGGCTTTCGCGATCTGGAAATCTGTGTCTCTTTGAAGATTTGAGGTTTCTGTCATTATTTCTTTAAATAAGCTTTCCACGTCTTTCCTTTTCTATGTCACTTTTATTACTTACATGATGTGCATACTAGTTTTCTTGATGATTTTCAATATGTTCCATGCACTTTCTTTACTCATTTTAATAATTCTTCTTTTTGTTTCTTTTTTTCCGACTAGATAACTTCAAATGATCCGTGTTCATGTTTGATAGACTCTGTGATTGCGTTTTTCAGTTCAGACATTGTATTCTGCATCTCTAGAATTTCTTTTCCTTTCTTTTTTACTTAATAGCGTGTATCTCTTTGTTCATATATCATTTTCCTGAATTCATTTAGTCGTCTCTATGTGTTTTTTTGTAGCTTGCTGAGATTCTTTATGGTGATTACTTTGAATTATTTGTCAGGTACTTTGTAGTTCTATATTTCTTTGGGGCCAGCCACTGAAGCTTTATTTTGTTCCTTCAATGTTTTTAAATTTTCTTGATTATTTATGTTTCTTAGAGTCTTGTATTGCTCTATTCACAGTTGAAAAAGCAGTTATTATTTTCATATATATATATATATATATATTCTAAGTTCTGGGGTAAAGATGCAGATACTACAGGATTTTTACATAGGTATACATATGCCATGGTAGCTTGCTGCCTCCATCTCCCCATCACCTACTTTAGGTATTTCTCCCAATGTTATTCCTCCCCAATCTTCTCATCCCTGCTATCCCTGCCCTAGCCTTCCACCCCACAACTGATCCCAGTGTGTCACGTTCCCCTCCCTGAGTCTATGTGTTCTCATTGTTCAACACACATCAATGAGGGAGAATATGCAGTGTTTTGTTTTCTATTCTTGTGTTAGCTTGCTGAGAATGATGTTTCCAGCTTTACCCATGTCCCTGCAAAGGACTCATGAACTCATCCTTTTTTATAACTGCATAGTATTCCATAGTGTATATGTGCCACATTTTCTTTATCTATTCTATCGTTGATGGGCATTTTGGCTGGTTCCAGGTCTTTCCTATTGAAACAATGCTGCAATGAACAAACGTGTGTATGTATCTTTATCATAGAACAATTTATAATCCTTTGGGTATATATCCAGTAATGGGATTGCTGGGTCAAATGGAATTTCTATGTCTAGATCCTTGAGGAATTGCCACACTGTCTCCCACAATGGTTGAATTAATTTATAATTCTACTAACTGTGTAAAAGCATTGCTATTTCTCCATATCTTCTCCAGCATCTGTTGTCTACAGATTTTTTAATGTTTGCCATTCTAACTGTCGTGAGATGGTATCTCAATGTGGTTTTGATTTGCATTTATCTAATGACCAGTGATGATGAGCATTTTTTCATATGTTTGTTGGCTACATAAATGCCTTCTTTTGAAAAGTGTCTGTTCATATCTTTAACCCACTCATTGATGGGGTTGTTTGTTTTTTTTTTCTTGTAAATTTGTTTAAGTTATTTTTAGATTCTGTATATTAGCCCTTTGTCAGATGGGTAGCTTGCAAAAATGTTTTCCCATTTTATTGGTTACTCGTTCACTCTAATTATTGTTTCTTTTGCTGCGCAGAAGCTCTTAAGTTTAATCAGATACCATTTGTCTATTTTGGTTTTTGTTGCCATTGAAAAGCAGTTATTTTTTCTACTGTTTATAACAGGCTTTAGGGAAGAAAGGTCTTCACCAGCGATCCCAGTCAGGTATACTGGGAGGCTTTTAGTCCTCTTCCATGAATGTGCCTTCTTCGCTCTTCTTAATTATTCTTAGGGCGGATGTCTTAGTATTGCTTACCTTCTCTCAATGCTGCAAAGCCAGACCTAGTGCTACAACCCTCTCAATTATTTTCCCTAAAGCAGTGTATACTGAGTTGTTCAAGTTTGTTTGCCTTCTATCAATCCAGAAGACTCAAGCTGACTGTTAAGATGATTCTGATCCAAAGATGATATCTATATGCCATTTATTGTTCTCATGTGAGTCATGCACAGAGATGTGTGGAGTGCTTTTCATGGGGGAGGAAGGGAGCTTGGGGCACATGTTGGCTGCTATGGGTCCTCAGGGAAGTCACTATGCAGGGTTTATAGACAATTATCTTGGTGGTGACCATGAAAAGGTGAATAGTATTCATGAATGATTGCCATGTATTGCCTGCTGGCTGATAGTTTGTTCCCTCTCCTTTTCACTGCTCCTAGTTACTTGCAGACAATTCAGCTTTGCTGATTCACTCAGTATTTTGGGTGGGGCAAGAACGAAGTTGACCTCCTGGGAAGTATTCTGCAAGGCTTGGGAAGCTGGGTGTTCAACTTTAACTTGTAGGAGAAATTTCATTTTCCTTGGGCCTCTTTTGGCACTGAGATCAGTTATCTTAGGGTAGAGGTGATACAGTTAGTGGGGAACTACTTTTCTTATCCTCTTCAATGTATTTACTCTTGGAATTTTTTTTTTGTTCCACCAGGATTCTACATGTAGAGTCTAAAGCTCCCACAACATGATTTTTTTTTTTAATGAATAAAGTAAATTTTTATTTATCTGCAATTATACTTGTGGGGGTACTACTATTTTTTTTAACTTTCTTTATTTTAACAGATGCATAATAATTGTATGCATTTATGAGATACATGTGATATTTTGATAAAAGAATACAATGTGACATAATTAAATCCAGTAATTGGGATATCCAGTACTTCAAACATTTATCACTGCTTTGTGTTAGTAATATTCCAAATCCACTCCTTTAGTTATTTTGAAATACACAATACATTGTTGATAACAATAGTCACCCTATTTTACTACGGAACACTAGATTTTATTATTTCTAAGTGTATTTTTTTGTACACAGTAAGCAACCTGCTTTATTCCCCCTTTCCACTATTCTTCCTGGCCTCTGGTAACCACCATTCTATTCACTATCTTCATAAGATTAACATTTTAGCTCTAACACATGAGTGGGAACTATTATCAAGAAGCTACAAGGGGATCCAAGTTGGCTGAGTAGGAGCAGCTTTGGATTGCAGCTCCCAGCAAGTGCACAGAGATTGAGTGGTTGCTGCATTTTCAGACAGATTTTTATTGCCCACAGATCAGGAGATTCCTGGGTGGAGGAGTGCCATGGGTCTCCAGCACAGCTGTTTCAGGTGGCATGGCAGGTCTCTCTGCCCAAAAAACTCACACGGGTCCCAGTGTCGTTTCAGCTGGAAGCTGGAACCCCTGGGAGATGGAGTCACCCATTCAACTGAAAAAAAGGGACAGAAACAGGGGCCAGGCCAGGAGATTCCAGGTGAAAAAGTGCCGTGAGCCCCCAGCATGGCTGTTTCAGCTGGCACAGTGGGTCTCTGCACAAGAACTCACACAAATCAGGGCACCATTTCAACTGGAGACTGGAATGCCTGGGAGACAGAGTCACCCATTCAACTGAAAAACAAAAGGGTCTGAGGCAGCGAGCCAGGTGATCAGACACAGGCGGTCCCACCCCCACAAAGATAAGCAATCTGAAACTTTCTGGATTGAGAGTTTCACAGCAAGCACATCTGAACCTGGGATGGTCCAGCTCTGTGGGTGGTGGGGGGGCATCTGCCATTACAGAGGCAGTCCACCACTACCAAGGTAGTGAGCCATTGCTGAGGTGGTCCACCATTGCGGAGGTGGCCCACCATTGTGGAGGCATCCTGCCATTACAGACAGAGTCCGCCATTATAGAGGCAGGCTGCCATTGCTGAGGCAGCTCTAACTATACCCCTATAAACAGGACTGCAGGGAAGTTTACATGGAACCTGGGCAGAGTCCACAGCAGCTTAGTAGGGCCTCCGCTGGCAGACTGTGACTAGGCTACCTCAAATCTGGGCAGGGCATCCCTGACAAAAGGGAGCAGCATGGCAGAAGCTTATAAATAAAGCCCTACCTTCCAGGGACAGAGCATGTGGGTAAAAAAGGCTGTTATTAGGTTTGCTGTAGCAGACTTAAATGTGCCTGCCCTGTAGCTCTGAATGGAAGAACAGAACTCACAGCTCAGCACCTGAGCTCCTATAAAGGACAGACTGTCTCCTCAAGCAGATCCCCGACCCTCATATATCCAGAGTCACATCATAAGGGAGAGCTCAGACTAACATCTGGTGGGTATCCTTCTGGAACAGAGATAGCAGAAGAAGAAACTGGCAGCAACCCTTACTGTTCTGCAGCTGCTGCAGGTAATCCCCAGGCAAGCAGGGTCTGGAGTGGACCTCCAGCAGTCCTACAGCAGAGGGTCCTGACTGCTAGAAGGAGAAGTAAGAAACAGAAAGAAATAACTTCATCATCAACAAACTAGATGTCCACTCGGAGACCCCATCTGAAAGTCACCAACTACAAAGACCACAGGTAATTAAATCAATAAAGATAGGAAGAAACCAGCACAAAAAGAATGAAAAGACCCAAAACCAGAACACCTTTCCTCTTCCAAGGGATCACAACTCCCCACCAACAAGGGAACAAGGCTGGATGGAGAATGAGTCTGATGAATTGACAGAAACAGGCTTCAGAAGGTGGGTAATTAGACACTTATCTGAGCTAAAAGAACATGTTCTTACCCAATGCAAAGAAAGTAAGAAACTTGAAAAGAGATTTGACAAAATGCTAATGAGAATAAACAGTATAGAGAGGAACATAAATGAACTGATCAAACTGCAAAACACCACATGAGAACTTTGCAAAGCATGGACAAGTTTCAATCGCTGAATTGACCAAGCAGAAGAAAAGGTATCAGAGGTCGAAGATCAACTCAATGAAATAAAACGAGAAGGAAAGATTAGAGAAAAAAGAGTAAAAAACAAACAAAGCCTCCAAGAAATATGGGATGATATGAAAAGACATAACCTACATTTGATGGGTGTACTGCAATGTGATGGAGAGAATGAATCCAAGCTGGAAAACACTCTTCAGGATATTATCCAGGAAAATTTTCCCAACAAAGCAAGATAGGCCAATATTCAAGTCCAGGAAATACAGAGAACACCACAAAGATATTCGTCAAGAAGAGCAACCCCAAGGCACATAATCGTCAGATTCACCAGGGTTGAAATGAAGGAGAAAATGCTAAGGGCAGCCAGAGAGAAAGGTCTGGTTACCCACAAAGGGAAGCCCATCAGACTCACAGTGGAACTCTCAGCAGAAACCCCAGAAGCCAGAAGAGAGTTTGGGTCAATATTCAACATCCTTAAAGAAAAGAAATTTCAACCTAGGATTTCATATCCAGCCAAACTAAGTTTCATAAGCAAAGGAGAAATAAAATCCTTAAGGAACGAGCAATTGCTCAGAGATTTCATCACTACCAGGCCTACTTTACAAGAGCTCCTGAAAGAAGCACTAAACATAGAAAGGAACAACCAGTACCTGTCACTCCAAAAACGTACCAAGTGGTAAAGAGAATTGTCGCAACAAAGAAACTGCATCAGCTAACAGGCAAAATAATCAGCTAGCATCAAAATGGCGGGATCAAATTCACACATAACAATATTAACCCTAAATGTAAATGGGCCCCCATAAAAAGACACAGACTGGCAAATTGGATAAAAAGCCAAAACCCATCGGTGTGCTGTATCCGGGAAACCCATCTCACATGCAAGGATACACATAGGCTCAAAATAAAGGGATGGAGGAAGATTTACCAAGCTATGGAGAAAAAAAAAGCAGGAACTGCAATTCTATTCTCTGATAAAATAGACTTTAAATAAACAAAGATCAAAAGAGACAAAGAAGGAAATTACATAATGGTAAAAGGATCAATGCAAGAAAAGTTAATGATCCTAAATATATACACATCCAATACAGGAGGACCCAGATACATAAAGCAAGTCTTTTTTTTGTTGTTGTTGATTACAATTAAACTTTATTTTTTTAAATTTATTTATTTTACTGTAGGTGCATACTATATCTGGCGTTTCTCCCCATGTTATCCCTCCCTATCCACCCCTCCCTCCCCACACCCTTTTGTATCTCCCTTACCCCCACAACTGTCCCCAGTGTGTGATGCTCCTCTCCCTGAGCCCACATGTTCTCGTTGTTCAACACCCACCTATGAGTGAGAACATATGGTGTTTAGCTTTCTGTTCATATATCAGTTTGCTAAGAATGATGGTTTCCAGATTCAGCCAAGTCCCTACAAAGGACACGAACTCATCGTTTTTTTTATGGCTGTGTAGTATTCACTGGTGTATATGTACCACATTTTCTTTGTCCAATCTATTATTGATGGACATTTGGGTTGGTTCTGGGTCTTTGCTATTGTGCACAGGGCTGCAATGAACATACGTGTGTATGTGTCTTTATAGTAGAACGATTTATAGGTCTTTGGGCATATACACAGTAGTGGGATTGCTGGGTCAAATTGAATTTGTATTTCTAGATCCTTGAGAAATCGCCACACTGTCTTCCACAATGGTTGAAGTAATTTACATTCCCACCAACTGTGTAAGAGTGTTACTATTTCTCCACATCCTCTCCAGCTCTATCATCTCCAGATTTTATGATGATCATATTCTAACTGACATGATATGATATCTCAGTGTGGTTTTGATATGCATTTCTCTAGTGACCAGTGATGATGAGCATTTTTTTCGTATGTTTGTTGGCCTCATCTATGGACATCTTTTGAAAATGTCTGTTCATATGCTTCACCCACTTATGAATGGGATTGTTTGTTTTTTTTCTTGTATATCTATTTTAGTTCTTTGTAGATTCTGGATATTAGTGCTTTGTCAGATGGGTAGATTGCAAAAATTTTTTCCCATTCTGTTTGTTGCCTATTCACTCTAATTATGGTTTCTTTTGCTGTACAGAAGCTTTGAATTTTAATTAGATCCCATTTGTGTATCCTGGCTTTTATTGCTATTGCTTTTGGTGTTTTAGTCATGAAGTCCTTGCCTATGCCTATGTACCGGATGGTTTTGCCTACAATTTCTTCTAGTGTTTTTATGGTGTTAGGTTTTATGTTTAAGTCTTTGATCCATCTGGAGTTAATTTTAGTGTAAGGTGACAGGTAGGGGTCCAGTTTTTGCTTTCTGCACATTGCTAGCCAGTTTTCCCAAAACCATTTATTAAACATGGAGTCCTTTCCCTATTGCTTGTTTTTGGTGCGTTTGTCAAAGATCAGATGGTTGTAGACATGTGGTGTTTCTTCTGGGGTCTCTGTTTTGTTCCTTTGGTCTATGTCTCTGTTTTTGTACCAGTACCATACTATTTTGATTACTGTAGGCTTGTAGTATAGTTTGAAGTCTGGCAGTGTGATGTCTCCAGCTTTGTTCTTTCTGCTTAGGACTGTCTTGGCTATGTGTGGTCTTTTGTGATTCCATATGAAGTTTAAAGTGGTTTTTCCAGTTCTGTAAAGATGGTCATTGGTAGTTTGATAGGGATAGCATTGCATCTATACATTACTTTGGCAGTATGCCCATTTCTATGATATTGATTCTTCCTACCCATGAGCATGGAATGTTTCTCCATCTGTTTTTGTCCTGTCTTATTTTGTTGAGTGGTGGTTTGTCAATTTCCTCAAAGAGGTCCATTATATCTTTTGTTAGTTGTATTCCTAGGTATTTTATTATCTTTATTGTGATTGTGAATGGGAGTTTGCTCTTGATTTGGCTCTCTGTCTGTCATTGGTATATAGTATTGATTGTGATTTCTGCACATTGATTTTGTATCTTGAGACTTTGCTGAAGTTGCTTATCAGTTAGTGAAGATTTTGGGCTGAGACGATGGGGTCTTCTAATATACAATAATATCATCTGCAAATAAAGACAGCTTGACTTCCTCCTTTCCTAATTGAATTCCCTTTATTTCTTTTTCTTGCTTATTGTTCTGGCTAGATCTTTCAATACTATGTTGAATATGAGTGGTGAGAGAGGGCATTGCTGTCTAGTGCCTGATTTCAAAGGGAATTCTTCTAGCTTTTGCCTGTTCAGTATGATATTGGCTGTAGGTTTGCCATATATACCTTTTATCATTTTATGATAAGTTCCATCAATACCTAGTTTATTGAGAGTTTTTAGCATGAAGGGCTGTTGAATTTTATCGAAGGCCTTCTTTGCATCTATTGAGATAATCATGTGGTTTTTGGCTTTCATTCCATTTATGTGGTAGATTACATTTATGGATTTGCATATGTTGAACCAGCCTAGCATCCCTGGGATGACGCCTACTTGGTCGTGATGGATAAGCTTCTTGATATGCTATTGCAGTCTGCTTGCCAGTATTTCGCTGAAGATTTTTGCATCAATGTTCATCATGGATATCGGCCTGAAGGTTTCTTTTTTAGTTGAGTCTCTGCCAGGTTTTGGTGTCAGGATGATTTTGGTCTCATGAGTTAGGGAGGATTCCCTCTTTTTGTATTGTTTGGAATAGTTTCAGAAGGAATGGGACCAACTCCTCTTTGTACATCTGGTAGAATTCGGCTGTGAACCCGTCTTGACCTGGACTTTTTTTGGTTGGTGGGCTATTAATTGCTGCCTCTACTTCAGCCCGTGCTATCGGTCTGTTCAGGGTTGCAACTTCCTCCTGCTTTAGTGTTGGTTACTTTTGTGGGATCAGTGGTCATATCTTCTTTATCTTTTTTTTTTTTGCATCTATTTGATTCTTCTCCGTTTTCTTTTTTATTGATCTGCCTAGCAATTTGTCTATTTTGTTGCTCTTTTCAGAAAACTAGCTCCAGGATTTATTGATTTTTTGAAGGGATTTTTTGTGTCTCTATCTCCTTCAGTTCTGCTCTGATCTTAGTTATTTCTTGTCTCCTGATAGCTTTTGAGTTTTTTTGATCTTGCTCCTCCAGCTCTTTCAATTTTGATAAAAGGCTGTTGATTTTAGATCTTTCCTCTCTTCTCTGGTGTGCATTTATTGCTATAAATTTCCCTCTCGACACTGCTTTAAAGGTGTCCCAGAGATTCTGGTAAGTTCTC